CTGCTGCTGCTTGCGGCGGCGGCGGCGGCGGGGCTGAGCATGGCGGCGGCAGCCGAGCCGGGTGGGCTGCCGGCCAAGAAGCTGCGGATGGCCTACGCCACGGGGCCGCTGCTTAAGTTCCAGATCTGGTGCGTGCGACCCGGCTGGGCCTGGCGGTGCGGGGAGTCCCCTCCTCCCCTCATTTCCCCTCCCCTCCCCTCCCCCGCGTAGCGCGGCCTGGCTCGGAGCCGTCCTCCAGGCTTCAGGCGGGGGCCGGGCGCTGGGCTCGGAGGCCTCGAGCTCCCGGGGCTCGTCCCCGCCGTGTGGGTGCCTGGGCAGGCCTGTGGAAGATGCAGGCCAGCCCGGTGGCCGCCCCGCTCGGGCTGGGTCCTTGTGGTGCGTGGGGCGGCGGTGGGTGCTGCTCTCGGGGCCCACGCACCTGTGAATTTGGTGATGAATTTGATACCTTAGTTTTAGAGCAGGGGGCAAGCAAAATACAGCCCACCCATCGATCCTGTTCGACCTGTCGGCTGCTGCCAGGAGCCTGAGGAGGGCAGGCCATGCCCAGTGCTGCTCTGCTCCTGCACGGCTGGGCCGTAGTGCTCCTCCAGCCCCATCTGCCCCACACCCGGCTTCTTGTTGGTGCTGCGGTTGTGCAGCTCTGACTCTGTGGCTGCAAGCAGCTGGGCTGGCACAGGAGTGGGTGCGGTGCAGCACATTGGGGAGCTGTCCCACCTGCCGGGATGCCGCTGCAGCACCTCTAGGAGGTGAGTCCGTGCTGGCCATTCAGCTCCAGGTGCTGCCCATGGGTTCCTGGGTGCTGTGGCTCGCTGCAGTGGCTGAGATGGCTGTGCAGTGTGCTGCATCGTGCTCCCTCCCAGACAGGCCTGGCTGTTGGTGGCCGTTGTGCCATTACTGTGTAGTTCTGGTAGGAAGCTGGGGGGCAGGGGAGGTGGATGCTGGGGTGGAGGAGTGTGTGCTGCCTGGCCCAGGTGTGGTATGCAGCTCTCCCTTCTCAAGGGCCTGGTGACACTAGTGGGCTGGACAAGATCAATTGGCATCTCTCTCTGCCCTCAGCAACTTACCAAAACTCTTTAAATGGCTCTCCAGCCCAAGTAATTGCCCATCCTTAGTCTAGGACACTTCCCATGCTATTAACTAACAAAACACTGATTGCTTATCGGATTGGCAGATGAGGACTAATGGCAAGAGAAGTATAGATTGGAAAGCAGAGATGGTCTGAGCTTAAACTTCAAGGTCTTCTCATGAGATATTTGCCACCCTTGATGAAACTGACTCTTCTGAGTCTTTTGTGCACAGGGGTGCACCGATACATTGGTCTGTATCGTATAATTGACTTTATCAGCAATCAGCTTTTTTTGGCTGATGTAGCTGATACTGTCACTGATAAGTGCTGCATGCATGCATGCAGCCATAGCATGCACACAGCCAGGAGTGCAGCCTGGAGAGCAGCATCCAGCTGGTAAGTCTGTTGGAGGGAAGGAGTATGGGGCTGGGGCAGACACTGTCAAGGTGGGGCGGGGTGTGGGACAGAGCTGGCAGCTCTTGTGGGAAGGCAGCTCCTGCTGCTGCGTACACCCCCGGGGGAGGCATGGGGATATGTGCCCCCTGGATCTGTGTGCGGGGCAAGGGCAGGCTGCCACTGTGCGCTCAGGGCCAGAGGCTATGCCAGCCTCTTCCCAGCAGAGACTGGGCTGTGGCTACACTTAGGGCAGGCGGTAGCAGCACTGGGATGGGAGGGCTATGGCGGGGCTGTGGTGAATTTTGGAGTGGCTCTGGCCCCTCCTGTAGCCTCTACTCCCAGTGCCATCACTGCCTGTGGCAAGCGCAGCCCCAGCCCAGCCCTGACCAGGAAGAGGCTGGTGTAGCCTCCAGCCCTGAGTGCAGTGCACAGCAGCAGCCTGCCCTCACCGTGTGCACAGATCCAGGGGGCATGTACCCCCCCCCTGCTTCCCTGGGGGGAGGGGGGTATATGCAGCTGCGGGAGCCACCTCCCCTTCTCCCTGAAGACAGCACATGAGTGACTGCCCCAGTCACCCTGCCCTAGTTGCACCATTGCATCCAGTGTTAAATGAGCATAATCATGTGGTAACTGACCAGCTCTTGGAACATAAAATGTATGATTTTAGCTATCTATTTAACTGTAGCAGAGCTGATAATTTGTGCACTCGCTGCTGTGATTTTTTTTTTTTTGTGTTCAAGTCCATTGTGAAAAACTTGTAGCACTGCTTGTTGGCTGTTGATAGCACACAGTGCCGTTTCAGCAGGGGAAAAATATCCACAGGTGCAAAAATGTACATCTTAGTCCCCAGAAGTGAATTCTGGGCCTTGCTCACTTTTGTTTAGGCAGTTCTGTAAAATGCCACAAGTAGTAAAGTTAAGATAAAGTAGTGTTGTTGTTGTAACTTTAATTTACTTTCTATATTTTTCTCATGCATTTTCACAAGTTGAGTGGCTGTCAAATTATTTCTACTGCAGTGTTTTATGTAATGAAATAATTACATGTATACACTGGCAATCTTTCAAGAATCAAGATTGACCTGTAATCATTTATCTAAAATCCTGTTTCCATAGTGTACGGTTGTTCTGAGGTTCGTGTTTCATTTTTCGAATGAAATAACTGGTAGTTCAGTCTCTCAGACTATCAAGTATACTAAGTTGAGCTACTGAAAAGCACCAATGCTTTTGTTTCAAAGCATTTCTCAGAATCAAATTATTTGGGATCAATTGTAGTGTTTCTATTACTTGTGAAACAAAAAGAGTTTGGTTGTACTATGCCTTTTTCTTTTCAAATTTTTCAGTCTTAAAGCAAAAATATTGATGTAACATATTTCTAAAAACTGAATTGCAGGTACAAATATTAAACTGTGGTTATTTAAATAATATTGAGTTTTTCTGCCCAGTCAGATGCAGGTTTTCTACTTGGATCATCTGACTCATAAGTGACACTTTGTGATAGCTTTCTCTATTTTTGGCTTGGTGCCACTTAATGTTTTGTAGCGTTGAACATTTTTTTTAATATCAAAAGGTAGAAAAATGGAAAACCTAGTACAATCATGCTAATATGTTAAAGGTACTGCCTTTGGATTAATTCTGTTTTCCAGCAATGGACCGTCTTGTGTTGCGATGTCTCAGACACATGTTTGTAGTATGAAGTGGAGCCGAATCTTGCTGGTTACACACAACAAAAATCTAAAAATCGTGTGTACTAGAGGCAACAGCTGATGTTTAAATAATTTCTCTTACTTTTTGGAGGACTAATATGATTCAAGTTAATGTAATTTTTGCATTGGAAGTTCACCATTAAAACATCTTGTTAACAAGCTCTTTTTTATATCAGTCTCTTTCACTGCCGTTTTTGATGTTTTTGAAATTCTAAGCCTTTTTCTAAATCATAAAGAAGCAAAAGAAAGATATTGATAAGCATTTAACATAGCTTCTTAATCTGTTACAGTATTTTTCTGAATGCTGGAGGTGGGTATCTCTTCTGGGTGTGCTGTGGAGCCCTCATTCTGTTGTCTGTTATCTTCTCTATTATACCCACTTCAACCTGTTTCCTAACTGCTTTCCTGTTCAGTACTACTTAGTTTATATCCCGCAATATTAAAAATACTTCATCAGTCTTTGCAGACTTGTACAGGAAGCTTAAATGTGATGTTTGGGGTGGGGGTGGGGAATTCAGAATTAATTGATGCTGTTGCAAAAATGCAGGGTGGTTGTTACAGTCTGACCTTTCTGAATATGTCATAGAACTTATGAGAAGGTTTTATTACCTGTGATCCAGACAAAAAAAATAAGTTTCTTCATCTTAAATCTTCTGAGACGTATGTACTTGCTAGAATTTGACCTGTAGGTTAGTAAATTAAAGCAAATGCCATGTGAAATCTAGTTGAAAGCTTCCAGAATCATCAGCTTGGCAATTTGTTTGTGTGTAATTAATATTAATTTGTGTCTAGTTGAATAAACCCAAAAGTATATTTGGGAAGGTATTGGCAGTTTCCACTGTGCAGTGAATATAGTGTACAATGTTTGAAGTTCAGTAATAATGTCTGTCTTTCAGTGTTTCCTGAGGCTACAGGCGGGTGTTTGAGGAGTACATGCGGGTTATTAGCCAGCGGTACCCAGACATCCGCATTGAAGGAGAGAACTACCTTCCCCAACCTATATATAGGTATGTAAACAATTAGTTTGTTTAGATGGGTTGACTGGTTTTTTGGGGGTGTATTCTTCAGTCTCTGTCCAGTGTGCTAAAGATGGCCAATGTATATGCTTAATTAAAAAAATTTCTTCTGACATCTTGTAAATTCTTTTAGTTTTCTTATGATGATCTTTCTACCCTCATTTCCTTAAAAAATGAAAAGAGTCTTCTTTTGGGTTTTTTTTTTTTTAACTGCCAAGTAATCCTGATTTGAATGTGTCACAAAACAGAAAGCAACCACATCTGTATCATAATGTCTGTCACTATTATTGCATGGCAAATTGAAGTCCATTTTAATTCTTCAGATCGCTCATAGTAAATCTTCACCATTGAATCTGGGTACAAGTTCACATAATTTTACTTTATAACTAAACTGTGTGTACATATTGATAGTATTGTATGTGTATATATATTATGATATGACCTCATTTGGTTTGGAGCATTTGGTTTTAAAAACAAAGTGAAAAAACTTCACTGTGTCATAGAATAATTCCTTTAAACATAACTTAAAAACTTGGGGGGAAAAAGTGATGAGAGAACTTAATTGAAAAGGAATTATTTTTATTTTAGTAATTAAAAGAGTCCTTTGTAGGCTAGATAGAGGTGTACAGTTACTGTGGTGGTTACTGAATCATGTAGTACCTAATTGTTGCTTACAGCCTTGTTAGTAACAGCCAGTTTGCAAAATAGATACAAAATTTTTTTAATCTTAGCAACTTTAGAGATAAAAGCAGGGTATCCATTTGAGTCTTGGGGTGTGTTGTTACTTTCTGCCTGCTTTCTAATTATGTCCTATGAAAATGATTATACCAATTGAAGTGATATTTAGGTATACAGTAGTGAAGCATTTGAGAGCCTTGTAAAGTGACTTGTATCTTTTGCTTTTGTTAGACACATAGCATCCTTCCTGTCAATCTTCAAACTAGTATTAATAGGCTTAATTATTGTTGGCAAAGATCCCTTCGCTTTCTTTGGCATGCAAGCTCCAAGTATCTGGCAGTGGGGCCAAGAAAATAAGGTACATGATTTACTTTTATTTTGTGGTGGTGTGGTCTAATTTTGATGCAATTGCATAATACTTGTGTGGGGGTGCTTGAAAACTGATATGGCTTATTTTATTTTCAGGATCTTAGGGTGCAAGTAGAAGTGTAGTGCTCTGCTGTAACTGAGAATGCTTTGCAGGAAACGTTCTGAGTTTAATCTGATTACTGAGGTTAATCTAATTACTTGTAATGGTGGTGCCTGGTATTATTGGTAGAAATGCAGATATGAGGTCTGGTTGCCTATAGAGAGGTACCTAATGTCACCCCATTGATAAAGATGCAGCAGCATGGGAGTTACACCATCAGGAAGAAGGCACAGCTTTTTTTCATTGTACTGACAACAAACTTGTTGTGTTTTGGTAGGTGTTTAAAATTGTGTTTTTCTCCAAAAGCATTGAATCGTGGCAGTTTCTTAGATGTTTCTTATCAAACAAGCTTTTGTTACATTTTTTAGAAACCCTGTTTGGCACTTTAAAAAGTAAAATCCAGTTGCGTTTTTACTTTATAGAATATTCCCAAATACTTCGGGAAACTTGTGTTCTTGATTAGACCAATAGCTCTCCAGTCATTCCTAGTACAGCACTAAAACATTACTTTCAGAATTCTGAAACAGTGATTTCATTCTAGACTTTAACTAAAAAGACAGAACCATAATATGTTTTATATTGCTCCAAAGTGGTTGGGTCTTGAGTGTCTTTTAGATGTTCTTTTGTTGTTATAGATGCAGCACACCTCAACTTAAACTACCAATGCAGTAGGTTTGAATCATGGGTCAGCTTCAGTACAGTAGTGGATTCTGCTGGCCCACAGAATCATGCCTTGCGCATCTGACCTAGATTAAGGCTTTATTGAAATGTAACTACGTTTTTTGTAGTGCCCTATTGTTATTTCATGTACTTAATCCTTTCATTGGTGGTTACCGATGTAAACAATGTTTTAGCGCTAATAAAAAGAGAATACTATAAATAACCGTAGTAGCTATGAAATCTCCAAATGCCATGTTGCTGAAGATTGCATCATATGATCCTTGGTGTATGATGCCAAAAGAAAGCTCAAAAAGATGGTGCAGAAGGAACAGTGTGGTTCGGGTTTGCAACAGAAATATCATCTATCAAAATACTTTTATATTTAGTTAGGGAGGATGTATCTTGCTACTTAAGAAATTATGGAGAACCTCCTTGATTTTCTTAAATACTGTATTAAGCTTCTGTATCTCACTCCAAGGCTCTGCAGAATGTGTATGGCTTTAATGGGAGTGGGAGAGGGGGGATGTTTGATCTTTTGTAGCAGGGTTGTCAGACATATGGCTCATGGGCCAGATCCAGTCTGTGGAGATTTATGATCCAACCTGTGGTCTTTGGATCAGCCCTGTGAGCTGCATGCAGTGTGTGAGCTGAACCTGGCACTGCACATGGCACATAGGGTCGGTCTGGGGTGCGTGATGCATATGACACCCATGCTGGGCTGGTTTTGTGCAGTGTCTCCAGATTGATCTTCTATGCTTCATGCAGTGCCAGGTCCAGCCCATGCACCACTTGCAGCACAAGCCCTGGAGCAGGGCTGGTACCTACTCCATGTGGTATCCATAGTGGACATGGCACTATGGATGCTATGTGTGGTACGTGGGGTCAGTCACAACCTGGCCTAGCAGGCTTCTGGGGCCAGATGAGTTTGACACCACTTTTCTTTAGTAAACTTAAAATGAACTTTTAAGAATCAGTGGGTTCAGTATTATTTCTGAGTTCTCAAGCTGGATACTTGAAAGAAAAAATTGTGCAAGCTATTATTTAGAATAAAGAAAAAAAGGACTTTTTTATGTCCCTGAAAACCTGCAAACTTTTTCAAAGAAGGTGCAGATGAAGAATTAAAATGTCTCTATGGACCGTTCAGGGTTTTATGAATAAAAAGTTTGGTTTAGAAGATCCCAATATGTGAAACTAATGCTGATTTGATTGGTTCTAGGTCTATGCTTGTATGATGGTTTTCTTTCTGAGCAACATGATTGAGAATCAGTGTATGTCAACAGGTGCATTTGAGATAACTTTGAATGGTGAGTTCTGTTCTCTTATTTTCAAGAAATTGCTATGTGTGCATGCCATGTTCTACAAGGGTTTTCAGAGGCTACCAGTCTCTTCTGTTACTCCAGGTTAAGTTGCAAGGTGGCAAATGAGTTTGTGAATGAGTTTGTGCACTTACCTGTGTCATTTGTTATATTTTAGTATGTAATTGGAATCTACTGTATATATGTTGCATAAGGTGATTATTATTTGCCTCCTATTTTGAAGGCAGATGAGCTCACTCGGGAACTTCTGTGGCAACCATGGGAGTCAGCTAGTTAGTAAGAAGGTGCAATTCTTTTCATAGTAGTCTGAGTTAGGAAGCCAAGTTAAAAACTTGTGGATTTAGTTTTTGTATATGTTTCATCTTTATTTCCTCACCACCACAGGCTCAAAAAGCACAAGCCTTTTTTAAGTCAGCCTTAAGAATATTAAAATTCATACAGAAATGAGTAGACCTCATTAGATTTCAACCTCTCTTAAGCCTTTTCTGCAGTTGATAGGCTCAAAATTCTGCCCTGAACCCTAAATTTTCTGAATTCAGGAGCTGACTGGCTATTGTTAAACTTCTCAGCTACTTTGTTGTAACTGTGCATTTCCTCCCTTCCCCCACCCTTCTCACTTCTCTTGTTTATAGATGTTCCAGTGTGGTCTAAGCTGGAGTCTGGTCACCTTCCTTCCATGCAGCAACTTGTCCAAATTCTTGATAATGAAATGAAACTCAATGTGCATATGGAGTCAATGCCCCATCATCGATCATAGCCCCTTCTATCAGCACTGAAACTTCTTGTAAGTTGTGTTGTTTTGTTCTGTTTTGCATTTTGGTTGCCTTTTGTTTGTTTTAATCCCTTCCTCTATACCCCCAGACACTTTTCCCCAGGATTTTTAGGTACTTGTTGCATTGCAAATGGTAATGGATTGCTCACCCCAGGGTAACAGGCTGTGTGTGTTTGGGTGGTCAGGGCTCTTAAAGAGTTTCTGATTCAAAAAGTTGGAAAAATATTTTATGAGAAAAATTACTTTTGGAGTCCCTTATTGAAAGCTATGGGGAGCATTTTGTCTGTTATCTGAACCAGGTCAACTCCAGTTTGCAGCATTTAGTTTTTGGGGAAAGGGTGTGTGTTTGTATGTGACAAAATAAGGTAGTAGGGTTAATATGGCATGCTATTCTGTTTTTTAGGGGAGTTGTTTGTTTTCTTTTTTTAGAAAATTAAGTAGAACAGGAGAAGTTAATTTGGGATATATGAGTAATTAATAAGAAAGCTTTGGACATCACAGGAGCAGGAAATTTTCCTTCCAGAATAGATTGCCTGTAATGGCAAGTCAGGTAGTACTGCTCTATACAGTACAGATCATTCTTTTATATCCTAACCCTTTTCACGTAGAAAAGAGGACTGGGTTTTGTGATGACAGTACAGGCAGTCCTCGGACTTATGACGCAATTGGTTCCTGAAAACCGCATCTTAAATCGAAATGTTGCAACTTGGAACCAATTTTCTCATAAGAAACAATGTTATAAATGGGGGATTGGTTCCTGAACCAAGGCCTGATACCCTATTTTCACCAAAAATACCCAAGAATTATGTACTCGATCAATTATAGATGAGTAATCTAGCTACATTAATGTATTTATATTGTAAAAAGCAATCGTATTGATTTGGAAGGACTTCTTTGAGGTGACTTTGCTGGACTTTACGAAAGGCTCTTGGTTGGACTTTTTGAAGGGTTCTTGGCTGGAGTCTTCTCAGGCATCTTGGCTGCAGGTTTTTCTGGAGTCTTGTCTGCTTTCTTAAGAAAGCAGACAAAGGAAGTTTGGACAGATGTTCTCCAGGGAGATGGGTGACACAACGAACTTGTTTGCTGGTGTGGCATCACATCGGATCAAGCATTGTAAAGTAGAAACTGACGTCGTAAAGTAGAAACAGGGTGTTAATTTATAAATGTTGTAAGTGTGAAACGTAACTTGAAATGCTGTAAGTTGAGGACTGCCTGTACTTAAATTATAAGCTCTGTGAGTTAAAGACTGGCTTTTATTTTCTTTGTACAGAATCTAGCACAATGGAATCCTGCTCCACGACTTCGGCTCTTAAGTGTTACAAATAATAAATATAACTTCATTCAGGGTGTTTGTGTCTTTCCCACCTTTGTACCTCATTTAAGAAGAAAAATTCCCTTCTTGTGCATTTCCTCCCTGTTACATATGTAATAGACGACATTTGTCCAGTAATTTCTTAAAAATTGATCTTTCTGGCATAACTGCTAGTGATTCCTTTTTCCCTCATCTGTAAATGATATTTACAATGACCTCTCTCTGGTAGGACAGAGCCCAGTGTCTAACCTCCATGTTTCAGGTGTCTTTCAGCAGTTTCACTACCAACCACGAGCTTCCTGTAGCACCTTTGAGTAGTCATACCAAATTTTTGTTGTCCAGAGAACTTCCCTCTGGCCTGAAGTGAAAGATTGTACAGAGCGATCTTGCTAGGCAGGATATGAGTTCAACAACTGTCAGTTGTCCACTGGGGATGTCTGAAAATATAGGAAAGCATGCATTGAGCTTTGCAGATTTAAAACCCTGCGTATGTTACAGCATATAGTAGATGAGTGACATACTTGTTTCATGAGTCCAGAGAGTAGGAGCATATTACTGCCTTTTCTCACTATTACCCTGGCATTCTGCACATTATGCTCACTTAATAACCAACTGCAAATACTGCTCGGAAAGCTGGGAGTTGGGGAGGATGAAAAGTCATAACTAAATACAGAAGTTTAAATTTTATTTGTAAAACTAGCTCTCTTTAAACAGGTTCTATTTTAAAAATATCAGAGGGTGCAATAAGCTATAATTCTTAGTAATATTAATATAGTAAAATATTACCTTTCTATGTGCAAACATAGGCTGTTTGTGCATGAAAGGTTTTCTTTAAGTTAAACTGCATTGATGTAGTGCAACTTTCATAGAGGTATTCTTGTGCTAAAGGGCCTTACTGTTCCAGGCTGGTTGTATATCTGAGCCTTCTGCCTCTGGGGGTACCCTTTCAGGTCAGAGCCTTCATTTCTGAGTGGTATTTTTGACTTAGTGTCTGAGCTGAGGTTTTGTGAACAAATTGCAAGTACATGTAGAACACATCTCTGACTTTTCCCTGCAGGACTGGTTCTAGAGTGCACACATTCTGACCCAGTCTTACTTGAAGATGCCAAATCAAGAAATTCTTCCACAAACCTACTCTGGCAGGCATCATTTTGTGTCTGTTATCGCATACACCAGAGCGAGTGGTGTGAGGATAGCTGCAGAGAGATGCCTCCAGAGTGGCTTCTCTGCATGGTTTCTGGGTTTGGTGCATATGATCAGGAGCAGGTGGGCAGAGCACATTTGAAAGTGTTCTTGTTGGCATTCATTAGGAACATGTCATGGACATCGTGTTTACTCTGATGGTCCATATGGCTTTGGCCACTGGTGCAGTTTTCCTTTGACAACTGTGATTTGGTTGTGATGCAGTAAACAAAGGTCAACTGCTTCAAAACCAAGTATTTAGATAGGTAGTAACATTTGTCAGAGCTTAAACATTCTACATGCATTTGTTGGGGGAGTATTGAGCTTTAGCTCATGCTAAGTAACGTTTCTGGGGACTGGGATTCTAGCTTCTCTCATAGGCTACAAGTAGATGTCACCAAATGAAATAGATCAGCTGTGTTGGGATGTGTCCCAGCACAGAAAATTTGCTTCACTGGGAGAGACTTATATTACCTGTTGATCCTGTGGGACAAGGAGCGAAGTCTTCCCTGCTTACTGAGAGGCACACCAAGCAAAAGCTGGTTCCATTGCAGTCTGAGTCCTGGGACCACACTGAAGTGTCAAACCAGTGTCTCTGTAAGCAGATGAAAGCCAGGCAGGCACTCTCAGGGCTTGGGTGGGGACCTGATCCTGCATGGAAATTCCTGGGGTGTGTGGGATTGGATGATAAGCCCCTTAGAGAATCTGCTGGGGCAGTTGGAAAGTGTGAGCAGCTCTGGGCTGCCAAGCAAACAGACATCTGCTGCTAAATAACAGCACAAATTAATACTAGCTACTTCATGGCCACAAATTTTGGGCATTCGTGGCATGGCAAGTGGTATGGATGTCTGTTTGCTTGGCCTTTGTGTTTCCATAATAATTCTTATGGCAGTGCAAGGTTGGCATCTGCTTCTAACCATACAGACACGGCCTCGTCTTATCTCTGAGCCTCAGACCTGATATTTTAATCCTTCCTCTTGGGCTTTCCCTTCCCCCTTTTCCAGCAGCTTAACCAAAGCACGGTGGTGTTACGAAGGTCAACAGCTTCATAGTTTTATTATACAGGTGCTGCTGATTGGGTTAAGTGAAGTTGTTGACTTTGCTGGTCTGAAGGAACCAAAAGTCAAAATCACTTAAGCCTGATTTACCAATTCATCCTTTAGCTAACGCTTTAATCATTAAAGGAACAGGAGGTCCCATAATAGACATAAAGTTAGCTATCTCCCACTTCCTTCAGAAGCATGACTTGGATCCTTTGTATCCTTCATATTTGATGCATGCTTATTTGTAGGGCCCTGGACAGTGCACTCTTCCTGCTTGCAATGTGGAGTACAAGTTTTTGGCATGGATTTCCTGTTACATGAAGTTCATTCATCCTGTTAATCCAGGAAGTCTGCTGTTGTAGGCTTAAACTAGACTGTGGCTACATTTTCCAAGCAATGGAGCTGTCATAATTTCCCTCTGGAGATGATTCAGTGGCTTAGTAGATTTCGTTTTTGGAAAGATTTCCCTAGGGTTGTTTGTGTGGGTTTTTTTTGTTTGTTTTTTTTCCCCCCCAGCCTTAGCTTCTTCTTTACTTAACTCTCCCCCAGGATTCTAAGTATAGTCCAAGTACCTTCCCACATCACTTTTCATCTCCGTAAGTCTGTAATGAGTAGTTCTTCTCCACAATCTGAGTGAGCATGGTGGAACTTCCAGAAGTGTATAGAGATGTTTCACAGACAGTTTCCTTTCGTTTGACCAAGAAGGAAGTGCCCTCCCCCCATAACAATATGTTTTATGCATTTCTTTTCAGGCATTAAAGCAAAACTTTCCATTGGCAGCGTGGCTGAAACCAATGAAGGCCTGCACTGAAGACAGCAAGCTGTTAGTGCAGACTGGATGCTTTCTTTACAGTCACGTTGTACCTCCTGAAAAACCTTGATGGAAGACCTCTTTCAGTGCTGGCATGTTTCCAAATACTGCACGTTCATGGAGTGCAATAATACTGTATAGTTTTTTTTTTTAAGAGTTAATTCGACCAGTTCATAGCTAAACAATACAGGCATTACTAATTGTAACTTTTATTTTATATTCACGTTTCACAGAATGGCAGATTGAGTTGATATCTAATTTTTCCTTGGAAAAAGTTTGTCTAATCTGTTGTAATTTTATATGAATTTATGTTCTTTTTGTAGTTTAAAATAGAATTACAGGAATATCTGATATAGTCCTAAACTGTCTTAAATAATTGACAACTATCTATCAGACATCTCTAATATGGTTATATCAGGTTTGTATATTTTTCCAAATATATTGCAGAGTGAAATGGTGCACTATATGCTAAATTATATGGACAAAACTATATGGAGAGTAATTACATCACTTTTGTGATTTCCAGAAAAAACAAAAAAGTTAACTGCTTTTTAAACTGCATTGGCCAGCTCAGGAGTTTCTTCCTCAACCAGTTAAAAGAATTGAAAAGCTGGGCCTTTATACTGTCCTAAATATAAACTAAGCAAATGTAATTTAAATAAAGAGTTCTCATTTACTGTGTGAAGTATCTTGTATTAAGATTATAGAAAATATAAATGTTTTGTGCTGAGAATATAAACAAGTCTAGAAAATATACACTTCAGATACATGACTTAGATGAGAGAACCAATTAGTTTCAGAATCGTAGAAAAGCAGGAGGGGAAGGGATCTCCGGAGATTATATAGTCTTGCTCCCTGTATGAGGAAGGATTATCTCAGACTAAACCACCCTGCCAAGTGCCTGTCAAACCTGCTTTTGAAAATTTCCAAGGATGGAGATTCCACAAACTTTCTAGGAAGCTTTTTCCAATGGTTGACCACTCTGAGTGAAAAGATTTCTTTCTTATCTCCAACCTAAGCTGCTTCTACTGCAATTAGAGACTATTGCCCATAGCACTCTCCATTGTGGCTACAGAGAAGAATCTACATTGTCTTTATAATCATCCTTCAGGTATCTCCCCCTCAGTCTTCTCAGATTAATCTAGCTCCCAAGAAAAGAATGTGAGTTCTGATAACCCTGGTTCCTTGAGTACCTGTTTCATAATCTTTCCAGGTATTGAGGTTAGACTGGTCTTTAGGTCCCCACTTCCTTCTCCCATTTCTTCACCCAATATATGCATGTTCAAAGATGATAGCTAATGGCTCTGAAATGAACTCAGCCTGTACCTTTGAGCAGTACATTAGAGTGTTTTCTGTATGGGCCTGGCAACCTGAAATACCTTTTCTAAGTAATTCCTGACCTGTTCTTCTACTACTCTAAGAGGTTTGTCCTCTTTGCTTTCTTTGCTATTAGCTGCACTTGTCATCTTGTAGTTGACCTTATACATGGTCTTTTTTATTACACGCTTACATTACCTTTTATATTATCCTTTATATTATCGTTTACCTCTCTTGCCAGTTGCATCTCTTTATGTTGACGGTCTTGTATGGAAGACTTTCACAACAGTGATATTCTTCTAAGTGAGCATTTCTAAATGATGGGGTAATAGCTACAAAGATGAAAGACTGTTCTGCCCAAAAGCATTCACAGTGGAGAACTTTTCTACCACTGTTGATGGCATGAGATCTAGTTATTCCCTTGCCAAGCTCCAGGAAGGCAAATACCATATCACCCCCATGGTGAAACTGTTGACTGTAGAGTTGAAGCAGCTCAGTAACAGGTAAGGTGGTTTGGTGTAGAGACTGAGTGAAGTGATAACTTATTAATGATTCTGGCCCTTTCCGTAGTCCAAAAATTCAGGGTTTAGATGATATCTCTAAGGAGCCAGATTGTGTGACCTTGCAGTTCCCACTGACTTCAGATATTACTACTGTTGAGAACTGTTACTTTTGTGAGACTTTTTTCTGGCTTTATGAACAGAAATAAAGTACTATAATCCAATTGTCTTTTTGAAGTACGATCTGTTACCCTCTCAAATTACTATTACCCCTTCTTCAGTATTTTAGGGGCGAGTTTAAATGATAGTTGGGGATGGTAGGACTTGAAGAGCTGTTTCTAGGGCACAGCCAAGTAATGCTGTCAAGGCTAAGAGGATGGACCCTGTGTCCCCTCACTATGGGTTCTGGGTGGGTAAGCTCAGCACACGGTTCAGGCTCGGCTGGAAATGTTTCTCTTGCTCTTTCTCTGGGTGTTTGGCAGCCAGGGGTCTCCTGTAGAGCCTTAGTGATTGGGTTTGGGGCCTCTTCAGCTACTACCTGTGGTCAGGCTGCTTGGGATGGGACTGCTGGAACAGCCTGAGCTAGTGTTAGAAAGTGGGTATGGTTTGGAGGCCTTGCAATGGACCCAAATGCCTGCTTTTACCTCACATCAATACAGGCTACATCCTTCTTGGTCTGAATAACAAGCACAACATCCAAGGTTAATTCACTTGCAATCCTACCAATGTCTAATACATGGTCTCCTGCTTGCAATGCCCATCTGATGTCTACATTGGATAAACAGCAATATCTCCATGATGGAATGAATAAACAGTGCTGTAACATCAGCTGTAGAAAAGACACAAGCCTGTGGCTGAGCACTGTAACTTCTCTGGACACTCCACTGCTGAGCTCAGGATTGCTGTTCTCAGGTAGCAACATTCTTAGAACCAGTGTGAATGGCAAATTGCAGAAGAAGAAAATACCCACAGACTGGATTGTGTTAAATCTTGTTTCAACAGGGAGTATAGATTATCCCATTATCTGGATTAGCTTCTATGACTCCTTTGGTCCATGTGTTTATTGCTTGTTTGTTTGCCTTTCCCAGCACTCTTCCCATCCTCTTCTCTGTCTCCGTCTCTCTCTTCCCACTGCCCTGCCCCACTTTTGTATTCAATCTTTTTCTTAACTGTTTTGTGCATATCCTTTCTGATGAAGTGAGCTTCAGCTTGTACTTCATAACCTTATTTAGTAAGGTGCATTTTTACCCTGCCTTCTGCAAGATGTGGAGGTGTATTTCTGGTTGGCATGTTAAGACTCCTGGAGCTAGGCTTAGGGCACAGGTAGGTAATGCAGTCCAGATCAAGGTTAGGATGGAGTACACCCCCATCCCCAGGGGTTGGGGGTGGGTGGGTTCCAAACACGGGTCAGGTTGTGGACTGGGAAGGTTCCTCCTGTTCTCATGGGTGTTTGGCAGCTGGGGATGTCAGATAGAGGCTTAGAATCATAGAATCAATGTGCCAGAAGGGACCTAGCCAGAGCATTGAGTTTGACCCCCTACCATGGGCAGGAAGGAGCACTGGGAGTGGCAGGGTCATAAGACCCTAGCCAGGTGCCTATCTAGTCTCTTGAAGATTTCCAGGGAAGGTGAGAACACCACCTCTCTGGGAAGCCTATTCCAGGCTCTGGCCACCCTTACAGTGACGTAGTTCTTCCTAATATCTAACCTAAACCTATCCTCCCTCAGCTTGTGGCCATTGTTCCTGGTGACCCCAAGGGGGGCCCTGGCAAATAGACTTTCCCCAAGTCCCTGCTGCTGGCCCCTAATAAGGTTGTAGGCAGCCACAAGATCCCCCCCTCAGTCTCCTCTTGTGGAGACTAAAGAGATTCAGGTCCCTCAGCCTCTTCTCGTAGGGCTGGCCACGGAGGCCCCCAACCATATGAGTGGCCTCCTCTGGACCCTCTCCAGGTTCTCCACGTCCTTCTTGAAGCGCAGTGCCCAGAACTGGACACAGTCCTCCAGCTGCAACCTAACCAGCGCCACATAGAGGGGGAGCAAGACCTCTCTGGACCTGTTAGTGATGCCTCTGTTGATGCAGGATAGGGTGCGGTTGGCTCTGCCTATTGCTTGGTCGCATTGGTGGCTCATATTCATCCCGGAGTCAATCATGATTTATGATATTCATCCTGGAGTCAATCATTAATTAGTAGTGATCAAGTTTGGAGCCTATCTAAGCTAATACTTGTGGTCAGGCTGCTCAGGATGGGGGCTGCTGGAACAGCCCAACCCTAGGTTTAGGGTTAGAGGATTGACAAGGTTTGGAGTTGTTTTTCCTATTGAGGTGGTAAGACTCCTAGAGCTATGTTTAGGGCACAGGTAGTAATGTAGTCCAGGCTCAGAGTTAGCAGGATGGACCCTGAGATTCCCCTACCTAGGATGGGGATGGGTGGGCTCCAAAACATGAGTCGGACTGCAGCATGGAAAAGTTCTTTCTCTGCTGGATGTTTGACAGTTAAGGCTCTCCCGTTCGGGCTTAATGATTGGGTTTGGAGCCTCTCCAAGCTAGTACCCTGCTCCAATTGCTTGGGGTGGTATTTCCTTGAATGTAAAGAGGCCTGTGATAATTTGAAGTTTTTTACTGGTTGATATTCATTCATTCTCATCTAAAATAGATGAAGTAAAATTTTCTGGGGTCTCTAGGAGTTTTTAGCTTCTCATTAATTATGTACTTCATCCATATTTGACAGAAACCAGTAATTGCACTTGCTCTGTGATTGTACAGATGTGTTGCTAGGAAACTTCCAGAAACTGTTCATATGCACTATATCCTACTAATATTTACCTAGGCTTCACAATTTGGAAAAGAAGAATAAACTACTTTTAATAGTGGTGGTGATCTGCTTTGAAGGCTAGCTGATCTGTTTATATAACAAATAATATATTGTCCATGTCCTTGGTGCAGGTCACGGGGTATGATATGGACTGTGAAGTGTGGTTTGTGTGGCTTGGGCTGGTTGTGGATAACCTCACAAATTACTCTATTATTGTAAACCTACCCAGTATAACTGTAAAAGATATGGGTATTTTACCAGGGATCCTGGTTTTCTCTCAAAAAAATCTCCAATTTTCAGATTAAAAAAAGTAACCCAGAATCCACATTTTCCCATAATTAAAATGCAACACTACTTTATATATATTAGTGGTGTTCCATTTTAATCAGAGGAAAATATGGATTTTGGGTTACTTTTTTAAATCTGAAAATTGGGGTGTTGTTTTTTTTTCCAACAGAGAAAACCAGGGTCCCTGGTAATTATACTCACGTTTGTTAAATGTGGCAGAAGTGCAAGTTTGTTTTCATGCTTTGAGTGCACAAATCTTGCCATTGCCGCAATTTTGTATATAATTCTGGGTCACCAAGACCATCAAATGTTTTATTTTTTACAGGTTACACTGAATCCCATAAAACAGTATTTATGGTATGTTTTCAAGCAAAAATAACTCTAACGAGTTGGAGAGAAAAGTGTTGGCAGTCATTAAAAAAAGCATTACCTGCCTTCCTTCCTGAGATGCACTTACAAAGCATTAACAGAATACTCAGTAGTTTTACACTTTAACGAAAGGGATTTAATTCTGAAATAAGCATGCCGCATTACTCAGTTTTGCTGCCATGAAATGTTTTCATTTGCAATCAGGTCTTCAATTATTGTGGGTTATTTTCCCCCTAGAAATATATTGGTAACATGAAACCCAAATACCTTTTATCCAGCTATTATCGTGCCCCTGAAATCATAGTTTTGACTTGTCTGTCATGTATAACTGTTAGCTCCTACATAATGCATATTTGCTTCTACATAATGTTAACGGTAGATGATCAAAAATTTTTTTATTAAAATCATGTTGCTAGCTTTCACATTTCCATGCACTAAGTGGATACACATACGTAGAAGTAGTGAATGGCAGTTTTCAAAATTACAGTGTTTTAACCCATTTTAGTGCTTGCTAAATACAGGTGTTTAGAATACAAGGTGTTGGAGAATAGGGCCAAAATGTTGTTGATGTAATTGGGGGTGCTCTGTAAACTACTATGGATCCATCAGTGCAATTGAAATAGGAAGCCACCCCTTAAAAGCTGCTTGAGGCACAAATTTTTGGGGGTCCAACAGTTGGGAATAAGTCCACCAATGCTAGTGAAATTACACTGGTATGAGTGAGAGCAGAATCAGGGCACTCACCTTCATGTTTGTGTAAAGCACCAAAGGTCAAATTCCAGTGATTTAAGTGTCTCAGGATGCAGATAAATCTAATGGTTTTTTTTTCCTGGGAGTGAGGTACCTCATTCTTTTGGGTCCTTTTGAAATCCTACTTGGTACTTTTCTGTACCTTTTTAGGTGTTTAAATATTTGATACTCAGTAATTAATGTTTGACCCAACAGGTTGTAAACGTCCCTAGCGCAGGGTCAGCTGGGCTTATAAGTTGGTCTCAGCTTTCAGCTCTGCTTCATTTCTGACTAAATAAGTGGGGGCTGTAGTCTGAGGGGAGCATGTGACTGAGATGGGTCATGGAACCATAGGCTGATGATGGAATCTGGTATAAAAGTAGTAATATCCTCTGAAAGGGGAGAGATTTGAGTGAGTTAAGGCTTAAGACCTGACTTGACTTTCTGCAGTGACCTGGGGAGGAGGCTACCAGAAAGAGGTTACAGAGAAAATCCGAATATACAATTTTTGTAGGAAGTGATGCTATGAAGCAGGGGGCTTTTGGATAGGGATGGGTAGCACTTCCTGGTTCCAGAGGCCAGGGTGCAAGCCTTGACCAGAGGAAGGGCTGTAGTAGCACTGCGAAGGCTGGTGTGGAACACCTGGACCCCTGAGGATGAAACCTAGCATGGTTAAGACTAAGCAGCTACTTGGCCTGAGAAGCACTGGGGGAGGATACAGGGATAAATGCTATACTCTGGAGAAAGATGGGGGCATATTTGCCCCAATTACCCCATTAAACTCTAAAGGGAGAACTTTTTTCTGTGACTGAAGTTTCAAAGCATCAAAATCATCCAGCTACCAAAAGGAGAATGGGAAACTGTTAATGGATGCTTTCTGATGCTGAATCAGGTAAGCAACTATGTTCTTAATAGGTGATTGTGCTCATTGGATTATGCTGTAGATAGGGGTAGGCAACCCCCAGCACGGCCACTAGTGTTGCACATAAAGGCATTTTGCTTGGTGTGTGTACTTCAGGGTGGATGGGGTAAGGGGCTTGGCCTGCACTGCTACAACAAGGCTTGGACTCCTAGTGGCTCTCTCAGTGTCTGCTCCTGGCATACCAACATCTTCCAAGTGGAGGTTGTGGTGTTTTTGACACTCTTCCCAAAAATGTTACTGACCCCTGTTGTAGATAAATATTTTGACTCAGATTCAGGTCTCTGTTTCCATAATTTTGAATGAGATCAGAATTGGGCCCTGTAGCTTCATGTACTGAACATAACCAATGCACTTTAACATAGCTATTCCAAGACACAAAAGCTTGACAAATACTGTGTGACTGCCTAGAAACAATGGAATGGTATAAATCCATTTAAAATGTTTGCAAAGCTATTAGTGGAGCTTTTATACTGGTCTTTAACAAAAGGTTACAAGTAATATTTATCTTGGACTGGTTGACTTAAAATCAAAATCTGTAACAAATGTGAACTAAATGAAAATAGAATGTTTAACCAGCAGCAAAATAGATAATGTATTGGATTCATTTTTTGTTGAACTAGTTTGCAGCGTGCCAGAGTGCAGATAGGGCCAAATATAATTGAAATGAATTACGTGCAAAATGGGTATCTGATTGATGATAAAATAGAAGCAAAAATACATGCTGCTTTTCAAGTTAAAGGGCTTCAATGTTTGGGGGATTAGAAATAATCCACTGATGCATTTGCTTTGCAGGCAGACAGGCCTTTGCCTTCATATGACCAGATAGGAAATACCCTTTACACATCCTCTGCATATGCCCTAATATTCCGTATGATCCTCGGTGTGCAACTCTCCACCTACTCCAGCACCTGAAGACATGATTGAACCCATTTTTTGTGCTAAGTAGTTCTTTAGTCAGGTCCCTGAGGGCACCCTCCATTTCTACCTGTCAGTTTATCTTCTCCCCTGAATTACCAAGTGGAATATTCCCTGGTTCCTAATTTCTACTTGATTGGGAAATTTCCACTTCAGTTCATTGCTCTTGGCCTGCGTTCATAAACATAACTGTTCTGCTCTTTGGGTTTCAACATACTGCTAGTTTCTCCAATAAGAACTAAAGAACTTCACCTGGTGCTACACATGTGAGCAAGGTGAGCTTTATAACATGCAATGTGAGCATAAGATGGACCCAGTCCAGTTTTTGGCCCTTTTTAATTTTCTAGCTAAGGCACATAGTGTCCAGACCAAAACCCAGCTCTGACCCAGGATTGTTCTCAGCTAAGATAACCTGATATCCGAAAACCAGGACACTATCAAGATGGACATAGAATATGGTCTTGGTACAGGTCAAAGAGGGTGCACATAAGTGAGTTTTGGCAGATGGGGAGAAAAAGAATACCCATTTATATCCCTCTGGGACCTTACCTACCACTCAGTGCAGAGGAGAGACTGGTTTAAGCATGCGTGCAGAGATCATCGGAAGGAGAAGAAAGAAGGGGCTTGTTTGTGTAATAGGACTAGCAGTAGAAGCATGTGGTTCTTGAGGCATATTCCCCATCCATCCATTTTACTGTGGCCCCTCAGGTGATCAGTCTGCTGTGGATTACACAGTACAGCGGTTTATGGAAACATCATCAAAGAAAAAAAGCTTAGTTCCTCAGGTGTTATGTTTTCAGACTAACATCTGATGATGTGACACTTGCAGGTCTGAGGGCAACAGTTTAGATTATAAGATCCCTCCTGGGATAAGTTCCATGATGCATCAGTGGCTATATTGCCTGGAAATAGCATAACAAAACTAGCATGGAGTAGCAATAATTTATTTTCCTGTATAAAAAAACAAAAAATACAAACAAGGGGCCTTTACATTTGACCATGGTCTGGCCCTTTGAAGACTTAATCCTTGTCCTGAAATCTAAAGGTGGTTTGATGTACTTGTAACTCCATGTGCTCAGAAGTGTGTGGTCCGGTCAGAAAAGCTGTAAACAAACCTCTTCCCAGGGTTATAGAGTGCACCGCCTTTAAGTGTTTGCTAGGGTCAACAAGGTTTCTGTAAACACCACCATATCACAGCCAGCGCGCACGGATCTAATGCACTGTCAATCCAAAGCAAAATGCTCCGTGTTCTCCTAGATCTTTTAAAATGTGTTTATGTATTTACTTCTCTGGAAGGCCTATTTGTTTACATTTCTCCTCTTCGGAGTGTGTTTTCCCCATAAATAAGGTCACATTTGCTACAATCTCCTTGTTCAACAACATCTTAAAGAAAATGGAAACAATATTTTTTTTGTAAGGGTTTTTGCATTTGCCTTATACATGGACACACATGCATGTGATGGAAATACTATACATGAATTAATATAGTAATGAACATTGATGTGCCATCTTATGACTTAGTTAATGGAAGAATCACAATGAAATGTGATTCCAGGTGAGCATGTGTTCCCAGGGATGGTGGTGATGCTCATGTGATCGTATGTTTTCAGTGTTGGTCATGCCCTTTCAGTTACCTACCCTGCATTCTGGCTGCCAAATGATTGCCTCCAGGGCCAACTTTTAACAATCAAAACCTTTGAGCAAATGATCTGTGCCTGAGACCAAGCTGGATAACATTCAGCACTTGATCTTTGATGGGACTAGAAAGGGATTCCAGACTTGGAAATGGGTAGTGGACTGTGTAATTAAGGAAGACTTCAGTTTTTCTCCCTATAGTTTGGGAAATTAACACAACAAATAATAGTAGGTAGTTATATTTGGACAGATTATCTGATAGTGACCATTTGACAGAAAGATCTATTTTAGCACTAGTTTTAGTGAGCAGTGGGGACTTTATAGAAAAATTGATTGTGGAAAAGAATTGAGGATTGAACAATTGGGAGTTGATTTGATTTAGTTTAAATTGCAGGAGGTACAAAAATATGTCTATAATAAGGGTCCTGGCCTTCAGATGGGCTAAGCTTGAGAAGCAAAGGCAATTTAGTTAGGGAAGTCAACTGGATTCAGGAGCTAAGGGACTTGGATATAGATGTGGCATGGAATTATTGTTTTAAGGTAAAAGTGCAAATGCAATCTGGTGGTTGCTTCCCAAGCTAAGGATGAAAACTGTAGGAAAAGGCTACAAACCTGCATGTAAAAAGTCATTTGCCATTAAAACAAACAGGATATACTAGAAACAGAAAAAAGAATTGACTAGTTAGGACAGTTACCTTTCTGTGGTCAAAGAAAGTAGAAATCAAGAGAGAACAGCTAAAGGCTTAGTTGAGTTAAACTTGGCAAAGGTTATCAAAACAAATAGAAAAAAAAATCTCTGATCTCAAAAAGAGAACCGGGAGGGAAGAAGTTGGCTACTTTGTGTAGAAGATGAGATTGAAGTAAAGCATTACCTCAGATCTTGGTCCATCCCTAAGCTGACCTTGATTTCTGTCTTCTGCACAGATGCAGTTGTAGTTGAAGAGGATGGTTGGGTAGCATGTGACAATGAAAACATGATTATGGAAATAACCAGATCTGAGGAAGCGAAACAGATTATTTACTCTTCCAAAATCAGGAGTCTCAGATGATCTTGATCCCACAATGTTGAAAAAAAGTGGTACATAAAATAGCAACTACTCGAGCAATGGACCTATCAATACAAGGATTATACCAACCTCTGGAGAATATAGCAAATGTAATGTCTCTCTTTAACAGAGAGGAAATAAAGAGTGACCCAGGCCTATCAGCTTGACTTCAATAGTAGGTGAGATGCTTGAAAAGCTATTGAAAGAAAGAACAATAAAAGACATGGAAGTAAACAGAAAGTTTTCCAAACAAAGTAGTAGGAACAAAAAGCCTAAATCCCTTTAAGGTTGAACTTGGTAAGTTTATGTAAGGGATAGTATGGTAGAAGAGGAAATAAAGTGTATGAAATAAAGTATTTGCAATCCCTATTCTGCCCATCTGCAGGGGCTAGGAAGGATTTCTTTTTTTGTTTTCAGAAAAGCTACTGGCTTCTGGTTTGTTGTTTTCCCTCCCACCTTCCTCTGAATCATTGGACTCTAGTAGCCTGGAGTGAATTGGCCAGGAAGGGGGTTTAATTCCTCCCTTGCTGTCCCACTGGCATGGACCTGAGCCAGGGTCTGCCTGGCACTCCCCCCTCACTGCTGCAGTGGTGGGGGAAAGGACACAGGCAGATGCCAGCTGGCAGGGGGGCCACCAGCAGGGGTCAGAGCTGCTGCAGACTATGCAGGGTGAGTGGCAGCACCAGGGCTCAAAGGGGTGGCCATAGCCCCTCCAAGCCCCCAGCAGCACCACCACTCACCCCACACAGTCAGAGCTGCCGCAGACTGCCCCCCACCTGCAGGAAAATGTTTGTGGTCTGGGACAGCATGAGGGGGCTGCAGCCCCATCATGGTCTCTTCCCCCTTGCTGCTTCAGTGGCAGGGGGAGGGGTATGGCTAGAGGTCAGCCAGCAGGGCCCCCTTGAGGCGGGGAGCAGGGAGGAGGGTTATTCCCCCTTCCCTCGGTGTCTGTGGAGGGGGCAGGATGAGACTTATCCCACTGCTCACCCCATGCAGGGAGTGAGTGGCAGTGGCAGTCAGGGCTGGCAGACCCTGCTGCGGTCCCCCAGGGGTAGAGTGGGGAATAACCCCTCTCCCTGCTCTACCCCCCAGGGGGCCTTGCCACCCCTGTCCCTGCTGCTGGAGCGGTGAGCTGGGAGCAACTGTGATGGGGGCTGCAGCCCCTGTCATGGTTTCCTGGAGCATGGTCTTCCTGGCCAGGGGCAGGGGGGGAACCATGCTGCGGGGCGGTCAAAGCTGCTGCAGTCTGGGCAGGGTGAGCAGTGGTGGCACTGATGGGGTGGCCTGGAGGTGGGGGCTATGGCCACCCCTCTGAGCCCTGGTGCTGCCTCTCACCCCACACAGTCTGTGGCAGCTCTGACTCCCTGCTTGCGCCTCACCCTCTTCCTCCCCACGCCAGGAAGTGGCTTGCTCTGCCTGGACACCATGACAGGGGGTGCTGCTACCATCGAGGGCCCTGCCCCTTTGCCACTCCAGCAGGGGTAGGGGCATGGCCAGAGGCTGGCTGGCATGACCCCCTTAGGAGAGGGGGCAGAGAGGAGAGTTATTCCCCCCTTCCCACTGGTATCTGGTGAAGGGAGTGGTAGGGGACTTCTCCTACTGCTGTTTCCACACAGGGAGTGACTGGCAGCAATGGTCAGGGATGGCAGACCCTTCTGTGGTCCCCCAGAGGCAGAGGGGTGAATAAACCCACTCCCTGCTCCTTTTGCCTCAGGAGCCATGCTGGCCAGAATTTGGTCATGCCCCCAACCCCCACCCCTGGAGCAGTGAGGTGGAAGCATGAGGCAGACCCTGGCTCAGGTCTGTACCGGTGGGATTGCGGGGGGAATTAAACCTCCTCCCTGGCCAGTTCACTTGAGGCTACTGTTGGGGCTGGCCACGACCCCACTGCCGGCGCAGTGAGCAGAGAAATGCCTAACAGGTCCATACTGATGGGATGGGGAAGGGAGGGGGAAATAAATTTCTTACACTGGCCCCAGAAGGGAGCAGGTCCAGCCAGGCCCCTGCCCCTGGCCCTGCCTCTGCCTGTCCCTCCTCTGGCTAGGGAGTAGAGGGGCAGGACCATCCCTGCTCTGCTGGAGTAGAGAGCACAGCCAAGCCAAGAGAGCATGCTGGGATGCTGGGGGACTCTGGTTTAACTTAAACCAGCAAGGGGTCTGGGACAAAAATTGCATAAACCTGTTTGAGTGTAATCAGTTAAGTCTGATACTACATTCAATCAGGTTTATCTCAAACCAGTTTCTGCCATTTTGAAATTGGTTTATATGCACTGAACTTATGTTCTATTACAGGTTTAAGCCAGTTTCTGATCACTTAAACTGGTTTATGTGTAACTTCTGTCTCTAGCCCTAGTGAGAGAGTTTTTCCTAATATCTAACCTAAATTTCCCTTGCACCTTGAGAGCCTTGTTCTATCATCTGCCACCACTGAAAACTATCTAGCTCCATCCTCTTTGGAACCACCCTTCAGTTAGCTGAAGACTGGTATTAAATACCACCCCGTCACTTTGCTTGATCTCCTGGCAATGCTCCTACTAATGCAGTTCAGTATGCCATTAACCTTTGTCTCAACAAGGGCACACTGTTGGCTCTTACTCAGCTAATTGTCCACTGTAACCCCCAGGTCCTTTTCTGTACAGCTTCTGCTTAGCCAGTTGGTCCCCAGTCTGTACTAGTGCATGGGATTATTCTGTCCTAAGTACAGGACTTTGTACTTGTCCTTATTGAACTTCCTGAGATTTCTTTTGGTCTAGTCCTCTAATTTGTCTAAGTCTCTCTGAATCTTAGCCCTAACCTTCAATGTATCTAGTATTCCCCCCACCTTGGCATCATCTGCAAACTTGCTGAGGGTACACTCTATCCCATTTTCCAGATTATTGATGAAGATACTGAACAAAACTGGCCACAGCACCTACCCCTGGGGCACTCCACCTGATACAGCCGAGTCACATCTTACGCGGGGGTTACGTTCTGAAGTCAGCGTGTAAGGCAAAAATCGTATAGTTGAAATTGCCCTTCCCACCAGGCTTCGGCACCGAGCAGCCACCGTCACTGCAGGGCCCAGACAAGGCAGGTGTGGTGCCGTATAGCCCCTGCGTGCAGTGCAACAGCTGCGCCTTCTGCACGCACTCCTCACCCCTCTTGTCCTCCGCCGCCTTGTCCCACCAGGGCAGCCAGCTGAGTGTGAGCAAGCTGCCACCCCCCAGCCATGCCAGTGCGTGCAGGCAGTACCACCGCACTACGCGCCATGCCCCAGCCGGCACCCAGAGGCCAGCCCTAGCAGCCGAGCATGTATAGCTGAATTTGTGTAAGTTAAATATGCATAAGATGCGACTCAGCTGTACTGAGCCATTAATTACTAACTTTTGAGTCTGAGGATCCAGCCAGTTTTCTATTTGCCTTACAGTCCATTCGTTCAACCTGTACTCCCTGAGCTTGCTTGTGAAAATGTTGTGGGAGACCATAACAAAACCCTTGCTAAAGTCAAGGTACATCACATCCATTGCTTTCCCTCTTTTCTGAAGGCCGGAGTCCTTTCTTTGTTGCTCTCTTATCTTCCTTTTCTCAGGATCCTGAACTCACTTAGCTCATGGTTGCTGATGCCCAAGTTGCCATCCACTTCTACATTCTCCACCAATTTGTTTGTGAGCAGCAGGTCAAGAAAAGCATGGCCCCTGGTTGGCCTCTCCAACACTTGTACCAGGAAGTTGTCCCCAGCACTCGCAAAAACCTGTGCACTGCTGTATTGCCCACCCAAAAGATCTCAGGGTGATTTTGAAGAACCAGGGCCTCAGATCTGGAGTTATCTTGTAGGGAGATGTTGGGGCCCTGAATTATTCTTTTGTACTAACCAGGCAGAAAGGGGTGGGTAGGATGCTTTCTGTACTATAATTCATTAGGCAGTTTCAGCTGTATTTGCAGCAACAGGCCTATGACCAGGGAAGAGTTTTGCTGAGCCACACTCTGTAGACCTGAAAACTAATGTGTCAGCTATTTGAAATAACACAATCTCCTCTCTGATATCACTTCACTGTTTAGTCAGTGGCTAATGGAGTCATTCACTTTCTGAAAACAGGCCTCTAGGAACAAAGTCTTATTATAGCAAAGAAATATGAGCTCTAATAAACATTTGTTTTAATATTCACCTCTTTAAAAATGTCTGAATTAGAACAGTTATTTCACTGAGTCTAAATTCATATTGCATCATAAAATGCTGGCATGTTTTTAGTTGTCAAAGAAAATTACAATTGTGTTCAGATACACAGGCCTGCAATTAGATGCCTTGTGTGTATTTTTAGACTTGACTTGGCCTATCAGTTCAATCCAATGTAGCATTTTATACCGAATCATTCATGTAAAGTATCTTAAACAATATTCTGGAGAGACTGGTCCTGATAGATGAGTCTGTAACGATTCTAAATGGAATGTACCAGTATATTGAATTTACCTGGGCACAGGTATCACAGGTGGAAGGCAAACATCAGAAAATAGTGATGCTGCTATTATTTGGCATTAAAAAATGTTGTCATGAAAATATTGGCTCTAAGTGTAGGTGGATAATGTTGTATGGTAAAACCATATGCCCTGTCTCTCCATGAGATTTCTGACTGGCAGCATCTGAGGTTGAGTGTTAATATTTTATACGCAGCACTTATGAGCTGTTGAAGCCAGTGTTGAAACTTTCCAGGGCAGACTGCAGGAGTGGGAGAGGGGAAATGGGGGAGCCGCAGTGGTGCAGAAGCACCTCACTTGTGCTGCTATCCCCTGCTGACATGAGTTTGGGGCTCCCCATGCACATTCCAGTTGCAGGGAGTGGCTGTGGGGTGCTGGGTTCAGCAGCATGCAGGTGCCTCCTTCCAGAGCCTGCTTGTTGCCCACGCCTCCCCCACAAGTGTTTCCTGCTGGCTGGGAGCACATGCTGGAAACTGGAACCTGTGCACCACCACTGTTTATCCTTAGCTGACACAGGCATGGAGGAAACAAAATGACTCCACAAAGGTGTATCAAACCACTATGATCCACGTCCAAAATACACTGTTTTTTCCCCCATGTCCATTTCCCCGTGCCAAGAATAAAACTAAACATTGGAGAAATATTTGCCTCTTTTCCCATAGCTTTCCATGTCTTCAAAATAACTGGTAATTACACTTGGCACATGACATTCGGATGTAGGTGACTTTTGTATCCAAGCTTTTGGTGTCCTTAGTGTCCTAGGGAGAGAATCCTGGCATCCTAGTGCCCAGTTTTCTGCCCAAGCACTAGATGTTCCTTTCTCTTACTAAAGCCCAGACTGTTGCACAAAAAGGTGTATTTATTTGTTAAACTGAAGCTTTTTTCATTCTGATCAACCTGCACAAAATGTGTAATTTCAGGCCAGGTTCTTCCTGCTTCTGGGTTGTTGTTGTGTGTGGCGCTTTAGTCTAGGTTTTGGTGGTGTATTTCTGTAGAAACCTTACATACATAGTCCTTAGTTTCCATAGTTCTAAGAGCTTCCTTTAAATCTTCCTTCTCCTGAAATTAAAAACACTCTAATAGAAATCATAATCCCATTCTTGTGCTTGACACACAATCTTTGTAGTAACTCGAGTCCACTGACTTCTTTGGAACAAATACTGACATCTTTATTATTCACACTCTGATTGTTTTACAGTAGATATTTTATATGGGATCATTTCCTTTGTGGGCTAGGAAACTCACTCCGTTTGCACTTGTTCTAGCCACCTGTCAGAGTTATGATTTATTTTTGCTTTGTTTGATAGCCTTGTTTTATCTTTCTGCGTCAAAGACATTCAGGAACTGACTGAACAAGCAAAAATCCCCAGCCACTCTTTCCTTCCACTGCAGTGAGCTGATTTTGCCAGTCATTTTAGGCTGGCAGCAGACAAGGACTTTGCTCTCTTCTGCATCTCTCAGCATGTTAATAAAGGCAAAGGACAACATCTGAATGAAAGGAGAAAAAGTAAGAGACCCTTAGTAATTTACAGAAGAGCAATGGCGGATTGAAGGACATGATCTCTAAGAGAGTTAAGCTGAGCAGTTAAAGGCTCCCAAATTTATTTTTATGCTTCTGAAACTTCAGATTCCAGGCTCAACCTGCATTTCTCCTCCCATCTTGGCTTTTTCTGTTGGAGTCATAATAGGCTGCGGGGGCCAGTTGCCAAAGTGCCTCTGGAAGGTAATGTAGCTTCATCCTTGTTTCCCAAGGAAGATGCCAGATCTTCTGTACGGAGTCTTGCATTCTCTCCTGAGCTGTTTCATTCCTGCTGCCAATCTACTGGTAATTGTGGTCGTTTACAAACTGATGAAGAAGAAGCGGGGTACAAACTACATCTTCATCCTCAACCTGGCTTTTGCAGACCTGCTGGTGGGCGTAATGTGCATAGCAGAGGCACTGGACGATATGCTGGATGGAAACTTTGACAGGAACTTGTCTTTCTGTCTCTTGCGGATCTGCATGAGCCTGACACCTTGTATTGGCTCCATCCTCACTTTGCTCTTGATTTCCCTTGATAGATATTTGGCAGTAAAGCTGCCCCTTCATTACCCAGCCCTTTTGAACAAAATACCCATAGTCTTCTCGCTCACTATTTTGTGGGCCATCTCTTTCTTGTTTGGCCATATGCCTTTGATTTTCCCCTCTCTGCAGAAAAGCAACTACACGGGCTACTGTGGGCTCCTGTATGCAGCCAAGAGTGAATACCTGTATGCGATCTGCTTTGGCATCTTCATCCCTGTCCTGCTGATCCTGATCTGCCTGCATGTCTCAGTGGGGAGGATTGCCTACTCACAGCACAAACGGATCTTGCGCAGTTGCTTGCAAGCAGAACCCCTCAGAGCCCACCTCCGCCACTTCAAGGCACTGAGGACGGCTCTTATAGTGATCATCTGCTTCACACTCTCCTGGGGACCTTACTACATGGTAGGCATTGTACAAGCTATCTGTGAGTCCTGCAACCTGGCTGAGCTTCTGAAGGATATCTTATTTCTGCTGGGAGAACTCAATTCCCTTATCAACCCCATCATCTATGCGCTGTATAGTAAAGATATAAGAAGCCATTTGGCCAAATTGATGAAATGCAAGAAGAAAGGGCAAGCAAATCCATTGGCTGTCATCCACTTTAATATCCAAGCCTCTGGTGGCTTAAACAATCAAGAGGGCAAGGGGTCAGGTTCATCAGGAGATCAAGCTTCTGATGTCACTTTCCCCAGCTGTTCTGGTAACTGCAAAATAGTCTACTCAGTATCTTGATTCAAAGCAGGTGAGCAGCCCACAGTCCAGCAATGAAAGGGAACACGGGATGGATACTTTTTGAGTACAATGAGTGACAAAGAAAAACAAAATTGAAAACCACTCCAGGTTAAAGTTGTTTTTTTTTTTGCCTTTCCATACATAAAATTTGACTGAGTTGTTTGGAAATGTGTGTGTTTGGGGGGG